GGGGGGTGAGGACCACCACGACGCTTCCGGCGGCCAATGACGGCGAGGATCAGAGGCGCGTTGTTTGTGCCGCCCGCCCCGCGGCCGCACCTCTCAACCCTGATCCCTGCCCTAACAACACCGGGCTCGACTCACAGCAGCCCTGTCCACAAGCCAGAACACTGTCTGTTGATGTGACATGAACCCTTCATCCAACGGTGCTGTCGAGACCCCACATCCACAACCCCACCCCCAGCCAGCGCGCCCCCACCTGGGCTCTGTAGGGGGACACCACCCCGATCTCCCCGGGCGCCACCCCCGCGTCCAGCAGCGCCGCCGCCAGCGCCGCCACCGCCGCCGCCTCCCCGGGGTTCGTCGTCCCCTCGCGCAGCTGAACCTCCCCGCAAGGCGCCACATCAGCATCCGTCGGGTCTGTGTCCAGGAAGGCCACCCTCACCGCCGGCGCCATCAGCGGCCGCAGCCACGCCGGGTGGCGCGCGAGCGCCTCGGGGCGCGGCAGCGTTAGCTCGGCGCCCGCGACGGCGGCGCTGCCGGCGGCGAGGCGGCCGCTGTAGACGAGGGCGTTGGGGAGCGCCATGATGGCGGCGCACATGCGGTACTGGCGCTGCAGGGCGGTGACCGCCTGCGCGGCGGGGGCGAGGTTTTCCAAGAGCGGGCGGGCTGCGGTGGGTTGCGTTTATTTCAGGACTTGGCAGAACCTGAGAACTTGCAACCCCAAGGCTCTCATGATGATGCAAGGCGGACAAGAGCAGCAGAGGAGTGCAGTCGGTGGTGAGAGACCACCCACGCTAGCCAGCCCTCGTCCGCGCCCCCGACCCCTGGCCCTGGCCGCCACCGCCGGCGCCGCCATGCACCTGTGGCTGTGCCTCGCACAGGCGGCGGAACAGGCTGACCCCGAGGCCGCCCTCCGCCGCGCGCGGGCTGACCACCAGCGGGCTCAGCTGGTAGTGGTCGCCCACCTGCGGGCCGGGTGCAAGGGGCCAGGCCAGGTGCAGCGCGCTCAGCAGGACTGCTTCCCTGCGCCAGCGGTCCAGACCTAGTGCCAAACGGGAACCCCCCCCCCAACCCTGTCCCCAGGTTTTGCGTGAACGCCACCGCGCCAGCCGCCGCAGCCGCGCTCCAGGGCCTTGATCCGCAGCTGTGCGCACGCGCGCACGCGAACGCGCGCACGCGTACGCGCATGTGCGCATGTGCACGCGCATGTGCGCTTGCATGCACGTGTGTGCCCCCTCACCAGCACGAAGCTGCTTGAGATCATGAGTGGCGCCAGCACCGCGGGCAGCGTGATCTGGCCGGCCTCATCCACTACCGCCACGTCAAAGTGGCGGCCCGCCAGGAGGGGGTTGTTGCAGGACAGGCAGGGCACGCCCACCACGCGCACCTGGCAGGGGGGAAAAGGGGGTGACGGGCGAAAGGATGCATTTGCGGGTTGGATACGTGTGTGTGGGAGGGTGGGTAGAAGGAGGAGGGGGTTGTGTGTACTGGTGTGATGAGATGGTTGCAGCGGTGGACATGACGCGCTTGCCGGCCAAAGCGAGCTCGAAGGAGCCGCTGGCGCCGCATGGGGCGGCGTGGGAGGCATACCCCGGGCGTGCGAGTGCAAATCGATTGTCTCCAACCAAGCCGCTCGCCAGCAACGAGCGAGGACAGGCGCAGCGCTTCAAATTGCGGTCCTGCCGAGAGTGGGTCGCGCCCAAAACCCTGAAACCCTGGAACGCCCCTTAGCCCCCCTCGGCTCCCCACCGAGTCCATGAGGGCCCTCAGTGCGGGGGTGCTGCGGTCCGGGTACTCTGCGCCGCCCAGCATGAAGCGGTGGATGTCGGGGTGCGCGGTGGCCTGGCGGCCCAGGCGCACAAAAGGCACCTGCGGTCATGTGGGTGGTGAGTGTATGGATCGTGTAGATATGCAGTTGTGTGTGCATGATGTTGTGTGTGTGTGAGAGGCTGCATGTGTGTTGGTGTGGTTGTGTATGTGTGCGTGTGTGTGTGTTTGTCTGTGTGTGTGTGTGTTGCTGTGTTGTTGGGATTGACGCTGCAGGGGAATAGCCAGTGGCGAGGCTAAAGAGGGCAGCAACAAACATTCGGGACACCTGTTGCAGGCACACTGAAGCATGGAGCAAGCGCCTGCTCCGCTATGCCTCAACACCTGGCCTCAACAGCCACCCAACCAACCAACCAACCAACCAACCAACCAACCAAACGGGCCCGTCCCTCCCTAGCCCCCCCCAAAAAAGGCACACAAGAAACCAGACCGACCTCCAGCTGTGCCAGCTTGACGAGGATGTTGTCGACGGCGCTGTTGGTGTACGCGCTGACGAGGACGCGCGCCCCACCCTCCACCAGCGCGCGGATTGCGGCCGCAATGGTGCTGGTCTTGCCGGTGCCTTTTGGGCGAAGGCGGGGCGGCGGGTTTAGGGGGATGCAAGTGCAAGTGGTCTCAGGCAAGGGTTCAGCCAGGTGAGGTGGGAGCCAGCATGGCGTGAGGGGTTCAAGGACGGGACCGCATCAGGCAGCATGGCACGGAATAAGCTGCTCATTCCATGCTCCCTCTGATAGGGCATCAGGGATGAACCAGGTCCAGGAAGCGGCGGCAGCACGCAGCAGGCCCCAGATTGCGGCGCCCGCGTCACTCCTCGCAGCTCACCCGGCATGCCCAGCACAAGCGCGTAGTCCTCCGCCCCCGCCACCCGCCGCACCGCCGCCGCCTGCTCCTCGTTCAATGTAGCGCCGTGGCCCCCTGACAGGTACCGCTCCGCCGCCTCGAGCCGCAGCCGCAGCCGCAGCCCCGTCGACGCGCCCGGCGTGCTGCACGCCGCGTCGCCCGGCGCCCCCTGGGTCGTCGCGTCGCCCCCGGGGAGAGCGGCGGCCGCCAGGCTGTGCATGCGCGGCGCCGCGAGGTCGATGATCAGCGCCCGCAGCCGCGCGGCGCGGCCGCCGCCGCCGCCGCCGCCGCCGCCGTCCGAGGCGATGCGCAGCAGGTTGGTGCGCAGCGTGACCGACAGCGACGCAACCTCGTCCTTGTCCAGGCGCCACAGCGCAGCGCCCTGCTGCTGCTGCTGCTGCTGCTGCTGCTGCTGCTGCAGATGGCAGTCCTGCTGCTGCTGCGGCTGCTCTCGCCCAGCCGGGCCCCCGCACCCGCCCATCCCCCGCCACTGCGCCTTGTACCTCTCCACCAGCACCGGCCTGCGGCTGGCCACCACCACGCTGCTGGGCGTGACCTCGTGCACCGTCACGCGCCCCACCGCGGTGTGGAGGCCGTCAACGCTTAGCAGCACCATGTCGCCGGCCGCCATCCCAAGGTCGAGCAGGCTGGCGGCCTGCTGCTGGCCCTGAGACGACTGCTGCTGCTGCTGCTGCTGCTGCTGCTGCTGTTCCTGCTGCTGCTGTGTATGCGACTGCTGGCGTTGGTGTTGGTGCTGCTGCTGCTGTGTGTGCAATTGATGGTGCTGAGGCGGCCCAGGCGCAGAGGCCTGTTGGTGGCGGACGAAGCAGTAGAGGTGCACGCGGCCGTCCTGGGTGCTGGCGGGCTCGGGGCAGTGGCTGAAGGCGAGGTTGCTGATGCAGCCGCCCTGCGCCTCGCGCTCGGGGCCTGCAGGCGCGAAGAGGGGCGTGGCGG